GTATCTGATATCTTTGTTATTTTTTTTACAGTGTCATACTTTGTACAGAGCGTAGGCTACCTCTCACATGTGAATGAGATTGAAAATATTGTATTAGTTCCCTAGACTAACCTTGTAATTGTTGGTAGCACTGACACTGACCACTAAACGTGGCGATTTCCCGTGGCTTTGCAGTGTGGTCAACCGAGAAGTTTTAAGAAAAAGCAACAAGCAGAAAATTTTCTCGATCGAGTGTAGAATTGTCATCAACCGAACCCACAGACTTCCTGTAGTTCGTGGTTTGATCATTTGATAAAAAAATACAAAAAACATTACCTGCGTGAGAAGTAGACAACATGGCAGGAATAATAAAATATAGAGGATGTTCAAATTATGCACGACCAAATTTTGGGATACACCATCAAAAACTATGGAAAAAGTAAAAAAATATATAATTTTTTAATGTGTCTTTGAAACCGATTCTTTGTCGATCAAACGGTATTTCCTTAATTTTGTGGGCGTTTTCTATGACAATCCTACTTTTTTTCTGACATTTTACTACTATCAAATTATTTAAAAGAAACAACTCCTCCAGTGTACCCATTTTAGTCAAACTGACGTGAAATTTCGTCAACTTCCGTGTGTATCTCATTTACATATAATTTGACTTCCTTCTAGCCACAAATTGTTCTATACAGCCTGTCCTCATTACGTATTGCGTTTACGTTCCATTGTTTAACTGTTCGGCTTGGGTCGGCATAAAAAATAAATTGATAACAGTAAAGTAAATAATCTGGAGCAACGATTGTAGCAAAAAATTTAATTATAATATGTATAATTTGGGGCCAAATAAATTGTAATTTATATACAACGGAGGTAGGTAGTATATATTTAAACGATTTGTCAAGATTCTTAAATACAAAACTATATTTTTAATAAAAATAGATAAGTTATAATAATTAGTTAATAGCACAAATACCAGATACGCTATTGAAACACCTCAAGTCAAATTGACATGCAAAAATGCTAGAAATTATATGTAATTAGTTAATTCGAAGTGAATTTCTCATAATTTTCATTGGTTTACTATCCGTTACGTGTATTATACCGGGTGCGTCTCAAAAGTGGCTCACCCCTATAACTTTTTTATTTTTTCAGATAAAAAAACGAGATTTCGTATGTTAGTATATGACATATATTAGGAATGATTAACGTATTCAATTGTTTTTTGAAATTACTTCCTCTTTCACCGGAAATGACTAAAACTTTTGATATTTAAATGTCACCCCCGGTATTTTTTACTTAAAATATTAATTTTCATTCATATTTCATTCTTTTATTCGATAAAAAATAAAACTCTGAATAGAATGACATATATAAATGAAGAATGACATATGTCAACTTTTGACATTTTTGCATATGGTTTATTTGAAATTGTAACATGCAGTTCATAACGACAATTTGACTCGAAATGCTAAGTGTATGGTACCAAATTATTCGTAAAAAATGCTTTTTTCAAATATGCTAATGATCCACCCTTGTTCTATTTGAAAAAATTGACATATGATTAAAAATACAACTTGGGTATCTTTTAACCGGCCAGAACAAGACACGAAAAGACAGACGATCAAATATATTTTTCCACGGCTCCTTGATTAAAAATGAGTGTTTTTGACACAGTCATGACACTCGGGATTGAAATTTAAACTATGATTTTTTTTAAAGCGAGAATGGCAAAAGTTGACATATGATATGTCATTCTATTCAGAGTGCCATTTTCGAATAAAGTAAAAATATACCGAGAGTACCATTTAAAACTCAAAAGTTGTAGTAAGTTCCGGTGAAACAGGAAGTGACCTATATACAGGGTGTTTCAAAACAAATGCGAAAAACTTTAGGGGGTGATTCCTTGTTCAAAATAAAGGGTAGTTTGCTTTATAGTCAACCATTAGAGAGATATCGCGGTACAAAGATGGCGGAAAAATAATGTTTTTATTTTTTATCTTGAAAACGAAAAGAGATAGACTAATGAAATTTTATGGAAGCATTACTGTTATGAAAACACACTTTCAGGTAATTTTTTTACTTTTTTAAAATGAGTGGAAGAGGTTGAAATAAACTACCCCTATCATTCTTGTTAACGAAATTTAAAGAAAAAACTTATCAAACACATGCAAATGATTTAATTTGGATAGTTTAGTTTGTTTAGAAACTTTTTACCTCTTGTGTTTTTTTGATAAAACTCACCGATTGGAAATTAAAAATAAAATGTAAAGCATTACATGTCAGGAAAAAAACATTTTTAGATTAAGAATCTAGTGATAATAACGATAATAATAATCATCTAGATAATAACGTATTGCAGTAGAGTAATGTCAAATAAAATAATATTAGGAACATCTTAAAAAGTAACAGCGGCCGACTAGATTTTTTCCTAAAAAATTACAGCAGCCCACTAGATTCTTTATAAGAAAATGTTATTTGTCCTGACATGTAATGCTTTACATTTTATTTTTTAATTTCAAATCGGTGAGTTTTATCAAAAAATAGAAGAGATAAAAAAGTTTCTAAACAAACTAAACTATCCAAATTAATTTTTTTGCATGTGTTTGATAAGATTTTTCTTTAAATTTCGTTAACAAGAATGATAGGGGTAGTTTATTTCAACCCCTTCCACTCATTTTAAAAAAGTGAAAAAATTACCAGAAAGAGTGTTTTCATAACAGTAATACTTCCATAAAATTTTATTAGTCTATCTCTTTTCGTTTTCAAGATAAAAAATAAAAACATTATTTTTCCGCCATCTTTGTACCGCAATATCTCCCTAATGGTTGACTTTTGACCCAACGTTTATGAAGCAAACTACCCTTTATTTTGAACAAGGAATCGCCCCCTGAAGTTTTTCGCATTTGTTTTGAAACACCCTGTATACTAACATACCAAATTTCGTTTTTTTGTTTGAAAAAATAAAAAAGTTATAGGTGTGAACCACTTTTGAGACACACACAGTATAGTAACAATTTGTAGTAAATGCAGTAATAAACAAGGTATTTTATTGACAATACTTTGTTGACACTGAAATTAGCATTTTACTACAAACCTTGCAAGGCTAGTTATATAAAGCGCATTGTCTCGACATTGATTTTTCTTAAATGACAAAGTCGTTTAAATTTTTACTCCTTGTCTGTTTTAAGGTCATGTCTTAATGTCGCTGACTTATACTTTTAGCTATGTTAATTACATTAATTACTGCTCTCATTCTAGTACAAGAAAAACTACATTTTTTAAGCAAAAATGTCAAAAGTTGACATATGATATGTCATTCTATTCAGAAAGTAATTTTCTATCGAGTAAAATAAAAATATACCGAGGGTGTCATTTAAAAATCAAAAGTGGTGGTCATTTCCGCTGAAAAAGGAACTGACAAAAAAAATTGAATGCCAATCAATCCTAATTTATGTCGTATACCAAATCTCGTTTTTTAATCTGAAAGAATAAAAAAGTTATAGGGGTGAGCCACTTTTCAGACGCACTCGGTATATATTACATGTTCTCTATATTATATTATACAGGGTGAGTTTCCTACAATGTTCTCTGTGGGTATTTCGGAAACTACTGGAGATAGAGAGTCCGTTAAATGGGGAAAGAATTGCAGTTTTGTGGGGTCATAAATATGCGCCTTTCAGATTTTTGAAAAAGTTCATGGCTTACAAAAAAAAACAAATTTCGGCTATTTTAAAAATTGTCCCTAATTCCATTATAATCTATTTTAGACAAAAAGTTTTCAGATAAAAGTTGTAGATAATCACATCCCTAATGAGTTTGCGTTCTCCGATTTTTTCTAAAGCCTGTCATTTTTGACATATGACATAAACATATGTCTTTTTAAATGGAAACCATAGTTGACCATGGCTTCATAAAAAGCGCCATTTTTTAAGCTTTTCAGCGATATAAGCTATAATACGTTTTTTTCGAAAAATTACTGAGTTACCAATTCTTATAATTCTTGACTAATTTCACTTAGTTGGCGTGGTATTCTTATTCTTCTCTTTATTATTCTTTCTATTTGTTATGATTTATAACTTATAAAAAGACAGAATATTTTATTAAACAGTTCTTTACAATTTACATTACACAATCTAAAACTTAAAAAAAAAGAAATATCACTTTACAGTACGTCTGTCCGTTGTGTAGCTACGGGGTATCCGTGAGAGGGGAAACGATATTCTCTCGATGTTTTTCGTAAAAAATTAGACGACGCGTCCCATCAATAAAAATTCGACAAATTTGCAAGTGGCCAATAAAATGAGTGGGCGGAGCGATTTGCGGTGACGTACTCGTCAAGTCGACGTATAAAATATATTGCTGTTTATTTATTAGCTTATATTATAGCTTATATCGCTGAAAAGCTTAAAAAATGGCGCTTTTTATGTAGTCATGGCCAACTATGGTTTCCATTTAAAAAAACATATGTTTGTGTCATATGTCAAAAATGACAGGCTTTAGAAAAAAACGGAGGACAAATTCTCATTAGCGATTTGATTATCTACAACTTTTATCTGAAAACTTTTTGTCTAAAATAGATTATAATTAGGGACAATTTTTGAAATAGCCAAAATTTTTTTTTTCGAAATATCTAGTAAGCCATGAACTTTTTCAAAAATCTGAAAGGCGCATGTTTATGACCCCACCCCCACAAAGCAGCAATTCTTTCTCCATTTATCCGACTGTCTATCTCCAGTAGTTTCCGAGATATCCATAGAGAACATCATCGTAGGAAACTCACCCTGTATATTACATATTACATTAAAAAAAATTATTTAGTTTTAAAAAATGTATCTGGATAAAAGAGTTATGTCAATATCTAAAACAAATCTTGATGCATCTTATTTCATATAAACAGTCTAAATCCACACTAAACCAGCTTCTTTGGGTTACAAGACATTTCTTTTTATTCACATACAGGTTGTACTCGTTAACTTTCACTCCACAGCTCCAATTAGTTTCGACCAAATACTTACGGCAAATATCCGATGCCGTCTATAACAATTATGTACCAATCAAAGCAGCGCACATTGTCTCGCACGCTCTCAGCAGAGATTAAAATCACTCCTAAATCTTTTGCATCCTTTTCTAGACAAGTATATCACTATAAACAAACTTTTTATACGTATCACATCACTGTATCTAAGAGGAATTCGAAAAAAAATCACCCGTGACTAAATCTGGTCGCGCGGATGGTCAGCGGCGCTCCTTCGACGTGTTCTTGCGTACTGACCGACCGGCTGTACTGGTACTTTGGTACTCTGGTACTCTTTTCTTTTGCCCGCAATCCTGCCACGGCTCGCAGGAGTTTTCTTGGGCGGTGTTGTCAAGTTGCAGGAAAAATTCTTGAACTTGGATTCCGAAACGATTGTATTATTAATTTTATATATTCTTATTTATATACTATATATAAGATTGCCTTATATCTATTTAATTAAATGATACTTTAACAGCGAGGATAGGTTAAAAACTTTATTTCTTCTCGCACGTTTTTTAATTGATTCCATTTTTGAAAATTTTTGTATTCCTTTTCATAAGTTATTCGGGATTTAAATGCTGTTGGTAATTTACATATTTCGTTTTGAGCCATTTCTGGCTCCAATTCAATCAGCAATCGCCACGAAAGAGAATTAAAAAATATTGACTCAAAACTGACGACTAAAAAGACAGCTTTATTTATTTGTCAAATTACATAGAAACCAACGCCAACCCAGCACAATATTTTTTCTGCTCGTAATAAATTCCTTGAAATAATAATTTCTGAATATTTTTTAAAACGTAACTCGCTAAGGAAAAAAATATTGTTTTACACACGACGATAAAATTGCATTATGGTCTCCCGAAATTAATTCACTCGCGATTTCATCGCTCGTGAATGAATCTTTTCGCTCGACGATAAAATACCATTTTATCTTCTTGTACAAAAAATAACTATTTTATATTATTTGGAACGTTTGAAACTGTTTAAAAATTATTTGTGGTGTTTGAAAAAAATTGCATGTTTTGTTCGGAGTAAAAATTACTTTTTGTACCCCGGCTGTATGTCGAGATACATAAACATTACATAAACCTTTGAATAAGAAGACTAAGGAAGGAGCATATCAAAAATCTTAGGTACACCGCGATGGGCCTCAAATATGGCCGACTTAAATTCCGGTTTATCAGTGTCGTTCTAATTTTATTTAAAAAATGTAAAACTATGATGTAGGGTAGATGTGGGGTAGACTCAATAATTTGTTGTTTTATTTTACGTTGTGAATAAATGTTGGTAGTTATTAAAATTGTTATAAAAATATATAATTCTAATAAAAATAGATAAGTTATAATAAGTATTTATTACCACAAACATCCGATACGCTACTGAAGCAGGTAAGTCAAATTAACGTATCTAAATTCTTTGACATCTAATCTTTGACAAGTAATAAATAAAAGCTAAAATGCAAGAAAAATATATAATTTAGTTAATTTAAGTGAATTTCATAAATGATCGGTTTACTCCACGTATGTATATTATATAGTCACTTACTAGCGAAAAGTTGTTCCATTATTTTACTCAATTTTTGCCGAGATCTACCGCACGCTACACAACCAACTATTTTAGAGTCTTTTTCGATAAATCGCGATAGTGTCACTGTTAATTTAAGTTCTACCACAATTTCCATCTAGATTTACTACCTTTATACAACTATCAGTAGTAGAATAAATAATAAATAACATAAAATAAGCTCCGTAAAGACTGACAAATCCACAAAATTTCAAATCAAATTCAAATGTGTCAAATGAATCGCCATACAGAACTGTCAAGGATCCCCACCCTAGAGTGCTTTTATGGCGCTTTTTCCGCCCACCATGCATGAATACATGGATAGCATTATGCTCCTTCCTTAGTCTTCTTATTCAAAGACATAAACAGATATGTTATAATAATTATTTAATAACAAAAATATCAGATACGCTACTGAAACACCTATTTAAATTGACGTATCCTAATTATTTTTGACAAGTTGTAAATAAAAGCAAAAATGAAAGTTAAAATATACAGGGTGTCCCAGAAATAAGTGCGTAAAGGTGTAATATTGTGTAAGGGTAGATCCAGGGTTCGGAAAACTACATGTTACTTTTAAAAACTACATAAACTACATTACAGGTAGTTAATGTAGTTTATGTAGAGGGTGTAGTTTATGTAACCTATGTATGTAACTTTCAAATCTCAAAGGTTTGAGGTGAGGTTATAATAAGTTGAAGCTTTAAAAACACATAATGTATTTAAGAAACCAGAAGAAATATGGCTTTAGATATAATATTTACATAATATTACCTCTATTACACCTCATACAAAGGAAAATTATTCATAATATCAATACATAGTTTATTAACGTAGTTTTCATGTAGTTAATGAACGGGAAAAGAAGTAGTTTTTGAAGAAAAACTACACGTAGTTAATCAGGTAAATTACGCCTTAATTAACTACTTCCGAACCCTGGGTAGATCTCCATGAAAGAAACATATTTTTTCTTTATCGTTTTTCAAATAAGTCCAAAATAACGGAGTTATTTTACTTTGAAAATTTCCCAAAAAAAATGATTTTTTGCTAAAATTTTGAGAACCACTGGATCTTTTCTAGATTTTCTTTCTTGTAAATTTAATCTACTACCTATGTTGCCATATTATCAAGAAATTATTTTTTTTAAATAAAAACTAAAAAAAATTTCAAGGAATTTTTCAAAAACACTTATTTCTGGGACACCCTGTATAATTAGTTAATTCTAAGTAAATTTCATAACTGATTGGTTTACTACACGTAAAGTGTATTATACATATAGTTACCTACCTATAGTGAAAATTATTCTAACCTTACCAGTGCAAATTATTCACCTGCTAAGTAATCTTTATTCAAATCTTTATTTATCTCGATATTTGTACGAGATATACCGCACGCTGCACTACTATTTTACAGTCTTTTTCTGGAATTCGCAATCATTTCACTGTTAATTTAAACTCTGACATTAGATTTACTACCTCTAAATAAAACCAATTGAAGAATAAACGGTAAATAACATAAAAAAGCTCAGAGAAGCACCACTCAAAAAAAATTTAGCAAAATTTGAATAACTGGAAAAAGCCTAAAAGTTAAGTTCACTAATATAAATCAAACATATTAATCACCTATAGTTAACTAATCACACTTAAATTTTTTGAGTATGACGATTAATGATATATTATTTAAGTCTGTTGTGTCCATATAAAATTGTTAATAATTTCACTTCCTGCAAAAAAATTGGAAAAGTACCCCATTATAAATGTAACAACTACGAAAGTATAAGAAATTGTTGTTTTCCGCAAACATTTGTCATTATTTTTACCAAAGAATACAGTAATTTACAATGAACATCTGTTATATATTTTTAATTATATTTATTTGTTCTTAGTGTTATTATTATTACTACTCGCAACCGTAACATTCGTTTCTCTAAAATTGTGTTTCATAACATTAGAATTTCTCATTATAGATTATCATTATTGATTTCTTTCTTTTATTTTGTTATTTTAAGGAAATACTTTGCAGGATTACCAGATGATATTTCTTAAAAACGATAAAAGAAAAAAAATAAACTTATCTTAATAATAAAATCTAAAATAAACAACACCAATAATTCTAAATAACCTATTACACCTCTCTGTGGCGGGTTCATTTGTTTTTCTACAACAGGGGGTTCAATTAAAATGGACCATTTTGACAGAACAGGTAAAACGTTATGTCTAAACCTTTGAATAAGAAGACTAAGGAAGGAGCATATCAAAAATATTAGGTACACCGCGATGGGCCTCAAATATGGCCGACTTAAATTCCGATTTATCAGTGTCGTTCTAATTTTATTTAAAAAATGTAAAACTATGATATAGGGTAGACGTGGGATAGACCCAATAATTTGTTGTTTTATTTTACGTTGTGAATAAATGTTGGTAGGTATTAAAATTGTTATAAAAATATATAATTCTAATAAAAATAGATAAGTTATAATAAGTATTTATTAACACAAACATCCGATACGCTACTGAAGCAGGTAAGTCAAATTAACGTATCTAAATTCTTTGACATCTAATCTTTGACAAGTAATAAATAAAAGCTAAAATGCAAGAGAAATATATAATTTAGTTAATTTAAGTGAATTTCATAAATGATCGGTTTACTACACGTATGTATAGTATATAGTCACTTACTAGCGAAAAGTTGTTCCATTATTTCACTCAATTTTTGCCGAGATCTACCGCACGCTACACAACCAACTATTTTAGAGTCTTTTTCAATAAATCGCGATAGTGTCACTGTTAATTTAAGTTCTGCCACAAAATCCATCTAGATTTACTACCTTTATACAACTATCAGTAGTAGAATAAATAATAAATAACATAAAATCAGCTCCGTAAAGACTGACAAATCCACAAAATTTCAAATCAAATTCAAATGTGTCAAATGAATCGTCAAACAGAACTGTCAAGGACCCCCACCCTAGAGAGCTTTTATGGTGCCTTTTCCGCCCACCATGCATGAATACATGGATAGCATTATGCTCCTTCCTTAGTCTTCTTATTCAAAGGTCTAAACGGAGCCTAATGACATTTATGGAGAATGTGAATAATAATAAATAATTCTTTTGAAAAAATAAAACACAAGATTTGTCCCACTTGTCATTATAAGAACTATATTATGTATAGAATGTTAAGTCATCGTTCAGCGTGACGTCATATATATTCGAACTCTATCAATCACTCGCCAACCAGATGAAAGAGATTGGTGACGTCATAATGGTATTTTGTAAATTACTGTATATCCTTTTAAGTAATTGTCATTGTCGTTGGATTTGGTTGTAATTTTATTGACGGACATCGATCACTGTCAAAATTAAAATTTAATTGTTGCAGTACAACAAAATTCAAGTTTTTTATTGTAAAAATGCCTCAAAGATTTAACCAAAATGAACAAGAGCTCATTGCTAAGCTTATAAATTAATTTTTTCGTGAAAGAGACGCTGGTAGAACACTCTTGTCCGTGGACGCAATATATAAAATAAGTAGAATACAAAAGTGTAATATTCCTATGTAAATTACAAATTTATAGCGTTTTAAAATAATGTAGCGAGTTGCTGATGCTTTAGATATAGGAATATCAACAGTCCAAAGGATTGGAGTTAAAAGGAACGAAGAGTTCAAGATAAAATGAATAAATGCCGAAAAAAAAACGGAACTCGCTCAATCAGTAATATAAGAACGTACTTAAAAGTTTCTAAACAATATGAACTGAGCTCAGACACACCCTAAGACTCATATTTGACAAATAATGATGACGTAGCGGTGAACGATGTCTGAACAGTCTTTACCTATATTAAAATGCAACAAAAATTAAGTTTCATCTAAATAATATCTTAAAAACAGGAATAACTCAATATATAATTATATCACAATACTTGAGTTGAATAAAACCATATTTAGTTGCCACTTTTTGCTATTTTTGCGAACCTTTGTTTTTTTTTCCTTTTTGTAAGTCAAGTTTTTCTTGATAACCATTTAATTCTGAACATTATTCAAGATTCCGCTATTTTGCTCCACGCCGTTTCTGATAGCTATCCATCGATGGTCAGTCGACCTCGTTCGAGCTAATGTATACAGAGTGAAACGGAAATCGGTCACTTTCTTCTTTTTTTCTCGCATAGCGAGATATTTATTCTTGAGAAGCAATGCTTCTCAATGCAAGACCCCCTTGGGCTTAAGGTCAATTACAAAAATGTAAAATGCTATTGTAAAGCTTAGAAAATTAAATATATTTTAAATATCTAAGCAGAAATAAACATCAGCAATATACTGTATTGATTTTATTTCGTTTACTAAAAATAGTCGGATATTTTTATTTGAAACTAATTATTATACCTCTATACTATAGTAATTTCCTATTTTACTCAGCTTAAAACATTTTTCTGCTGCGGGTATTTAAAAAAAACTAAATTACATTCAGCGCCATTTAATCGTAGCGGATAATATCGGAACTAATATATATCAAGCGCCATCTCGTAACAAGTTATAGATTTAAAATAACAGAGTTCTGTTTTTTGCACAGCTGCTGCCATCTATTAGGATATTACCATACGACGAAATATTCTCTTAAAGTAATCTGTAAAACTATCGTCGCGCCATCGTATGGGAGGTAGTGAAACGAAGGCATAGAGAATAAAGATTTCTGTTTTATGTTACTTTGCTGACATCTAACGGAATGTTAGAGAACATTACAGTTTTATTTTAAAGAATTCTGCAATTTTTAGATCCAAAAAGTGTAGTCAGAGCCATCTATACGTGAAAAAATATACTTCAACCCACTCTAAAGCGTGGTCCACACGCAATGATTTATCGTACGGTTTACTAGCGTTGAAAATACGTTTTCGTTCGGTTTTTCGTGTTCTGTCATAGCAACATGGTGGAAAAACTGTTGTGGCTAGTTTTTGCTATTTGTTTAAATAAAATAAAGTTCAATGAACTCACTGAGAAACTCATGTGAACGTTGCCGTAGATCAGACAATTATTATTGCTACGACTTGACTGTGAAAAACGCCGAATCTATACCCTGTAGCCTGTACTAGCTCAAACTTTTAACTCAATTTTCCGAGTTTGTACAGTTCTTAAACTTGTTCATACTTCCTGTCCATTCGCTACGTTTTATCTGCAACGTTTTGTCGATTCAAATAAGTCGTACGATTAGTCGTTCCGTCTTGACCGCGCCTAACATATCTCCAATCACTTATAGAAAAATGTTTATTAGTTTGAAAATCTTTCAGTAATGCACTGATAGATGACACTCTACAAAATATTTCATATTTAGGCAACTCGAAATACTTTAATCAGCTGATTGTCAAATTATTAAATTTATTTCCAAATTTTCAGAATATATTTACATAAATTTACTTATTGTGTTAAAAACATTATCTAGCTGTATTCATTTGGTAACTACAAAGTACAACAATGGCTGGTTCTGCATTACGACGACTGATGGCCGAATATAAACGTAAAATATTAAAATCGTTTAGTAAATTAAAAACAAATATAATACTAATTTTTAGAATTAACATTGAACCCACCTGAAGGTATAATTGCTGGACCCACAAATGAGGAAAACTTCTTCGAATGGGAAGCATTAATAACGTATGTAAATGAATGCATACCTATATTTTTTTATAGAATATACATATTCATTTTTTTAGTGGTCCCGAAGGAACATGTTTCGAAGGCGGCGTTTTTCCAGCAAAACTAACATTTCCCCCGGACTATCCGCTGAGTCCTCCGAAAATGCAATTCACCTGTGATATTTTTCATCCAAACAGTAAGTACACCATCATTTAAGAGAGTCTAAATTGTGTTTAATGGCATTTTTAGTATACTCCGATGGTAGGGTATGTATTTCTATCCTTCATGCACCAGGAGATGACCCTATGGGCTACGAATCAAGTGCAGAAAGATGGTCTCCTGTACAGAGTGTTGAGAAAATACTCTTATCGGTAGTTAGTATGTTAGCAGGTAATAAATTCTCTTATATGTCATGAAATTTTAGTTAGCCCATTAGTGTGAGGAAGTTTTATATAAATTTTGCATCGTTTATAAAGGTGCGTATCCTAAAAGTATTTTCTTGTATACAGGGTGCAACAACTGCATCCCCTATTTTTCTATACATAATTGGATTTAGCATACAATTCTGCATATATGTATTACTCTATTTTTATTTGAAGGACTATGTAGTGTCATGATATTTCTTATTTACTAAAATTTTGGTACAGTATATCCGAAAGTGATAAAAACACGGAGTTAAAAAAACTGGACACTAGGACATGCACCTTTATAATCATGCAACACTTATACAAAACTTTTTTCATATTTTGGTCAACAGCGGCGATATTGGACTTCGTCGCACTAATGGGCAACCCTGTATATCTTTTTTAGAGCCTAATGATGAGAGTGGCGCTAACGTTGATGCAGCAAAAATGTGGCGTGAAGATAGAAGTGAATTTAATAAAATAGCAGAAACTTTAGTTCGTAGGACTTTGGGAATACCGTAAATAAATTATTTTTTATTTTTTTATAATTTTTTTATTTCAATACCTTCTCAGACTCAGACCCTATAGAGCAGTGATGGCCAATCGCGACCAAAGTTAGTGGGTAGGCTATGTGAGCAACATTGCAAGTGGAGGTTTGTTATATAAAAGACACTCTTATATATTCAGTTTATCAGTTTTATTTGAATTTTTAGCTTGATACTGCGTAACAAACATATAAATATTATTGGAAATATTAGAAATCTACATATCTACACAAAATAAAAACGTTATTTAACAATAAAAATTACTCACAACCTACTTTTCGCGTTCCAATAAACATAATCGTTATAAAAAAACGGTTAAAGGTTATAAAACAAGTATTAAAAAAAGCTGGAATAAATTACACATTATATTCTTATTTGTGCGTCATTCGTATAGTTATATGTATTACAATGTACTATTACGATATGGAGGTTATTATTCTTTTATAGGATATAAAAAAAAGTTTTACAAACCTTAGAAAAAAACTAGGGTGTATAGAATTTTTTTAGGCCAACACTAAACACAAAATCAACTAAAATGTCTTCAAGAAATTTGAACTGCCAATAAACTAACCAAAAAAAAGATTTTTTTTACTATATATGTAATGTATCTAACAAAATTTCTTGAGCACCCTGTATAAAGAGATGTTAAAATGTTTTCTTTTTCTTCAATTGGCAATTACGTCAAATGGCAGTTCGGTCAATTAAATGTGAAAAACCAGCCAAGTTCTAACATTTTAATCTCTTTCTTTACACAAGTTTTAAAAAATAATATACAGGGTGTAATTGAATAAGTGCGAAAAAAATTAGATTATTGATTTAAAAAAAATAATGTTGGTTTTTAATTAAAATTTTTATATTCGTTACTTCTTTACTAAGTTATCTAAAAAATGTAAATCCGTAGATCATACACTGGGTGTTTCTCAAAAATTGCTCACCCCTATAACTTTTTTTTTTCAGATAAAAAAAACGAGATTTTGTATGTTTGTATATGAAATAAATTAAGATTGATTGACGTATTCAATTGTTTTCGGTCATTTCCTGTTTCACCGGAAATTACTACAACTTTTGATTTTTAAATGGCACCATCGGTATTTTTTTACTTCATCTGATAGAAAATGACACTCTAAATAGAATAATATATCATATGTCATTCTTTTCCGATTGTGTCTTTGATTATTTAAAAAAAAATCAATCACCCCTCTAATTTTTTTGCACTAATCCATTTACACCCTGTATATCAGACCCAGTGTCAATCAAACGAACCAGCATATCAATAAATTATCTATAAAACTAAAAAAAATCGTCTTAGCTTACATCTATTACCCTAATTCGCAAGTTCACAATCCTATTCCTACTGTTTTTTTTTTCTTTTACTTATTTCTATTCGCTTATTTTAATGATATTAAAAATCTAAAATAAGTTAGATCACATAAAAAAACTTTGGTTTTTTCAATCCTACGTACGGCTACAATCTTAGGGAGACCTAAACGCTACAATATCCTTAAAATTAGGTTATATTATCGAGTCAGAAATTGCACCTTTTTTCATACGTCACCAAGTATAGCACACTACTTATCATGTAATATATTAAATTGGTAGGGCAGTATTGCAACATACAGTATTAAAGAACGGGAGATATAAAAAATATGAGAATTAAAAAAAGTATGACAGTCTTGGGAGAACGAAAAATAAAAAAATATTTTTTTTAAAATAAAATTTCCCACATCGCACTGTATATTTTCACTTAGATATACAGAAGCGACAGTCAGCGCGGCTCCTTTGAAGTATGTAGCTAATATTTTTTGACCTTTGAGTCACTTAAACTAATCGCAAAACATTTTCCGATGCACGTCATCAATCTTATCGAAATTGACACTAAAACCTATAAACTTGATTAAATGAAATTTTGGCAAAAATGTTTAAATTTATTGTATAGTTTAAGATACCGAGCAGTTCCTCATTTTACTTTATAGAGCCAAATGATAACATATATTTTATTTAGATTAAAGCTGCAAAAAATAGTATAAACCGAATTTTATTATCGCTATGTTGGTCACATTGCGCCGTGTTTAGCAACGTTGTCGTTTATTATTTGACAATAATTATCACTCATTATTTTGTATAATATTGTGTTGTCGATGAATCTTTGTAATTCTCGTTTTTTACCGATTTTCTTAGTTTCTTTTTAAAATTGTACTTTTAAGCACAAACAGTTCTTTTAAGAACTAAATTTTCGAGTTTTTGTATTGCATTTCTTGAAATTGTGTCTTGAAAATATGCTGAAGCATTTAAACAGTCGAAGCAAACAGCTTGTAGCTTCCCTGATAAACTATTGTGAACGAGAACATGAGAATAAAGGTCTTTTATTACCCTTGACTGCTGTAAGAGAAGTAGGTTTGAATGGTAAGCACATTTTCCACTTTCAAAGTTATTTCTACGTTAGTTTTTAGTAAATTCTGTGATTATTAGTTTGTGTATTCATGGCATCCTCTTACTTGTTATTACGACTTGTGGTGTTCTAAGATAACAACACCAATAAATAAAAAAATAACTCATAATAACGGTTAGGATAATCTTCATAATAGCTAGTTTTTGCCAATATGTAATAAATAAAATAAGCTATAAAACAAATAAATAAATTAATTATTAAATTAAACATAAAACGTATAAATCTTTAAAAAAATGATATAATAAATATGTTGTTTCCCAATGTTACATTAAGATTCGTTTCATAAATCCATCACAATCTGGCAGCGCTGTCGCCATCGCTTGACGCGCAGAGTTGATCACGTGCATCGGAAATTGTTTTGCGATTACTATACCTGCTTTTTTATTATTGCGATGTTTAATTTTTTAGATAATTTAGCAAAAAAAACTAAAGAAAATATAATTTATAGTAATAAACTATAAACGTGATACCGGTAATTGTATTACATCATGCCTAAACATTATTATTCATAAAGAAGTATCCCTGTAATCCATTTTATTTAAACAAATACCACATTTTTTTTCTGTTAAACTGGCAAGGATAAAAATCGGGCAAAGTCAAGCACTGCGACTCAAAAAATGTATTCAAACCCTAGATCATAAATATATACTTACGTGGATAAATCAACGCCATAAGATTAGCATTAAAAAATATGTCTCCAACATCACGACATGCCATTTTCAAACCTTCTTTATTGCACTTATGAAACGTTCAATAGGTTTGTCCTTCTCGAGGACCTTACTTTGCGCATGCGCATTAAAAGTTGCACGTATTTCCAAAATAATCACAATTTTATACGGTTTAGAAAGTACAAATTATACATTGTTATGGAAACCAACTTTTCATTGTCTTAATATTGTCAATGTATTGTCATAATATTATTTCCATTGTGTAACGACGCTTCTTTTTTGCGTTTCTTATTTTAAAAATTGTATTAATTACTCTTTTACCGACCGCCTTTATATAGCCAAGAAATGTGTTCAGTGAGAAGTTAATTTTAAGTTTGTGCAACTATATTTCTATTTTTTTTTTTCGTTGGACTTTCTAAATACTCGTAAAAATGACTAGAAAGTGTTTAGCTATGGTGTTTAGTGTGTGAAAAGTCTAATATAAAGGTCCCCGAATTATCTTTTCATAGACAAGTAAAGTATTCAGTTGTTCTTTTATTTATATTAAGCCACATGCATACTTTCTGTTTTCCTAAGAATATTGATATTCGTACGGAGTGGCTAAATGTATTTTTTATATAATTTAATTTTTGTGACAGTAAACATTTAATTTATTGTTCAAATATAAGCATTTTACAAATTAAATTTTTCAAATTAATGTTCAAATTTGGCGCGCGGACGATAGGTCCTCGACAAGGATAGACAGAGTAGAAGCACCGCGTGTGCAACAAAAAAAGAAGATAAATGGAAGTCGTTGATATGTTTGCGACAGTTTCCATAGTCATTTACTTATCCACGTAAGTATATATGATCTAGGATTCAAGCTTCGCTCAAACCCTCAAAAACCTCCCTACCTCCGTTTCGTTGCCGTCTAAAAATTAAAGACCATATACTCGTTGGCGTCACCGCGGAGAGGACCCTGATTGGCCGCGGGCGGGTTAGAGGCGGGTCCGCCGCTAGGGATGGGCGGCGCGAAGCCGCTGCGCAGCGTGTTGTCCCCGGAGGAGGGCGCGTTGTCGTCCCCTCCGCTGTCCGCCACGTCCACAAAGTGCTCGGCGTAGTAGTGGGGCGTGTTCAGGTAGTCGATCATGCGCCGTGGGAGCGGCAGCATCGGAATAAGGTCGAGGCGCACGTTTTTGTGGATCACGAACCTGAAAAAAACATAGAAAAGCGCTAGAGACTCAAAAATTCGAATGTCATCATCAAAGACATCTAAATAAATATCTCCCTTTTTTGAAGTATAACTCATTATACAGGGTGTTTCAAAAAAGCATGTGCCATCTCTCGAAGAATTATTAAAAGTATATTGCTATCTGTTCTTTGTTTTATTTTGCAAACCACTAATAAATTCTTTATACAGAGTGTTTCAAAAAACATGTGCCATCTCTCGTGGGGAGATTTCTCACGTAAAAATAAGATTTATTTTTCATATCAACATAGGTCCGATTCTGGTTTGTTTTGTAGCTACAGGATGTTAAAGTCTTAATAATATTTCGATTTATTTTAATTTTCTTCCAAGTAATTTTACTGATTCGAATGAAATTTTGAGAGTAAAAATTACTATAATAAGTGCTACATATTTTAATGCTAAAAATGTGTCGATAAATTCATCAGGGACGTGCATATAGGTTATCATTGGAATCTGTTTAAAAAAACATGTGCGCCACTGAATTTTTTTTGATATCAAAATTGTGTAGGTCATTTAATGCCAATTAAAAGTTACCTCTTGATATTTTTTTTCTTTTTCGGCTTTCGGCCTGCTTGATGAGATAAACGCAATTTTATTAATCACAATTAATAAAATTAAAATTAAAATAATACCTAATTTATTATTAAATATTATTACTATTAGTTATTATTATTATTAGTCCAACTTAGAGCAATTTCAAATAAAAAAATTATGGTATTTAAGATAATTACAAAAAACCTAATTTTAAAAAGTTTTAGCATATGTTACTCTAAAACCATGCATTTCCATACCCATGTTTATAGGAACTTTTTTTCTTATTTTTTGATGCGAAATCGATGAGTACTTATTTAAAACTTTCGCTAGTTAATGATATTAAATTTTTTAAAGGTTGCAATTAGACTTGGATCAAGGGGAATTAATAAAATCCGGTTTATCTCATCAAGGAGGCCAAAATCGAGAAAATATCAAGACACAACTTTTAATCGGCATTAAATTATTTAAAATATTTCGCTAACAAGAAAAAGTCAGTGGCGTACATGCTTTATTTTGAAAAATATTCCAGTGATAACCCACATGCACGTCCCTGATTAATTTATCGACATTTTTTTAGCGTTAAAATATGTAGCACTTATAGTAACTTTTACCCTAAAAATTTCATTGGAATCACTAAAAGTACTTGAAAGAAAATTATAATAAATCGAAAGATTATTAAGACTTTAACACCCTGTAGCTACGAAACAAAGCGGAATCGGACCTATGTTGACATGAAAAATTAATCTTATTTCTACGTGAGGAATCTCCCCACGAGAGATGGCACATTTTTTGAAACACCCTTTATAATCTCAGGGCTTTGATAAAAGCCAGTATCTGAGACGCTTTAATAACATGTTAAAATGATCAAAAACAGATAATATAATATGGTTACCTGCACATATGCTGTAAACTCTGCACTTGCTTAAAGCGCGACACTGGATGGAGTAGCTGCACCCTGATTGGTCCAATCACCGGTCTTCTATGGAGGAAAAACAGGTATCTACCGCTCCTCGAATGCTCTACGGCGTTTTCTATAAATTCTACGATAGTTTGGGACTTGAACTTCGTACAATTACCAAAACTAAAGTTACCTGAATCAAGAGAAAGACAAAATAAACACTACAGCATGAAAATATATCAGGAATGTCTATAGTATCTCCCAATAAACTTTACAAGATTAGTTTATTTAAGTAATGCATCATACTGCAACAAAACCCGCCTTGTCCGAATTATTTTTGTGTTTTTTCTCTTTAAAAATTAAATATTAATTTCTATTTCTAGAAAAACGAGATACAAAACAATAATTTCATGGACATGTTTTTTTCAATTCTATACATTTTTTTCATAATAAAATTGGGGGTAGCACTAGCCAATAACAATAGTAAAGCGCTTGCCCAGAGCGGACATCTTTAGGAAATATCAACCTTTTATAAAAGACAGAATCGGAAGAATCAGAACATGTATATTATTTCATATATTTTTCATTTTATTGATTTTATGGAAAGCACTGTTCATTAAAATGTTGTATCCTATGTTATAGGGATTGTTTCTCTCTACAATTTCCTGTCTCAGAATGTACCGTTTGTGTCCGGGAAGGGTTCATAGATGTCGATTTTCGAAAGAAATCGGTACATTTATTTTATTTCGTATATTTTTCATTTTATTGATTTTATGGAAAGCATTGTTCATTAAAATGTTGTATCCTATGTTATAGGGCTTGTTTCTCTCTACAATTTCCTGTCTCACAATGTACCGTTTGTGTCGGGGAAGGGATCATAGTTTCATAGTTGTCGATTTTCGAAAGAAATCAGTACATTCATATTATTTCGTATATTTTTCTTTTTATTGATTTTATGGAAGGCACTATTCATTAAAATGTTGTATCCTATGTTATAGGGCTTGTTTCTCCCTACAATTTCCTGTCTCACAATGTACCCTTTGTGTCCAGGAAGAGTTCATATTTTCATAGATGTCGATTTTCGAAAGAAATCGGTACATTTATTTTATTTTGTATATTTTTCATTTTATTGATTTTATGGAAAGCACTGTTCATTAAAATGTTGTACCCTATGTTGTAGGGCTTGTTTCTCTCTACAATTTCCTGTCTCACAATGTACCGTTTGTGTCCAGGAAGGGTTCATATTTTCATAGATGTCGATTTTCGAAAGAAATCGGTACATTTATTTTATTTCGTATATTTTTCATTTTATTGATTTTATGGAATGCATTGTTCATTAAAATGTTGTATTCTATGTTATAGGGCATGTTTCTCTCTACAAATTCCTGTCTCACAATGCACCGTTTGTGTCCAGGAAGGGTTCATATTTTCATAGTTGTCGATTTTCGAATATATATTTTTCATTTTATTGATTTTATGGAAAGCACTGTTCATTAAACAAAAAATTCAAAAAAAGTTATACTAACACAATAAAATAAGACCGAAAAAAAGGTGTCAGAGTTGGCATTGAATTTTATTTTCCAAGGTCATTTGCCGCCTTTTTTTTTCGTTCTCTAGACTATACCTTGATCATGGTCTATTCTAACGTGGCGGATGCTGTTATTTAGCTTGAAAGTTAATGAAAAAATGTAGTGATCGTCGCTGCTGTCTCTCACTATAAACGAACCCTCCGGCTCATTTGACAGGAGTTTTTCTGCAGCTTCACCGGAAATTGGACCCCAATACCAACCGTACTAAAAAAAACACACAAACATTAACATTAACAATTTTAGAACACAAACACATAGATAAAAGAAACAAGTTTAGATTGGAAAGTGCCCAAGAGGACAATGTAAATGTTATTTGGCGCTATTCTTACAACGGTCGCTATCCAAAGCTTTTGATAATTTCGGAGCGGTTCGGCTTTTTCCGGAATAATGTCGCCAAATATTGTTTATTCAAATTTATTATTATTTTCTTTTAATTTTTTAAATAAAATACAGTATGTTGCATATAAGAAACTTTATTCTATATAAGAACATGTATAAAATACCTATAAAACATTGAAAACCGATGTTATGCCACGATCCACGATGGTTTTTGCAGTTCACAGTTCACACAGCTTTTAAAGTTTTTAATGAGTGTTAAAACGGTATTTTTTCATTGAGGGCGGTTTAAATTTTGAAAGACTTTATAATTTTTGAAGATTCTCAGTTTGAAGAGAGAAAATTATTTCTGTTCTTGTTTGCGGTTATTCTGAGCAACCGCTATAGCAGCGCCCTATAACGTATGCGCTCCAAAACAATTAGTTCAAGCATTCCTATCTAAACTTGTTTCCTTTATCTATGCACAAACGTTAAGAAATTTTATACTTACATCTTTAACCATTTGAAGGCTTGTAGAAAAATCAGACGGTTGTTCTACCGAATTCTTTTTATCCTTCTTCTTGTATGGCAAAGGCGGTAGAGCTCTACTACTTAATGAATTTTTTGTTTCTTCAACATTACCATTTCCCACATCATAGGAAATTTTCTCCGCCTCACATTTGTCCTATAAAAAATATTAAAAAAAATCCGTCACGGTAACCTTTGAATAGTAGCACAAGCGGGGATTTTAGGATTTATTCAAGCGCAGCAGAATAACGTAAAGGGTTGGGTAACAACAAGGTTGGGTAGGTAGAAAATTTTATATATTCTACCGTATTATGTTTTAAAAAAATACAATGGAAGAAACTTCTAAACTAAAAAAACGCTTTAAATATACAACATTAATTTTGTACCTGTTCTCAGATTTTATACATTTTCTACGCACTTTTCTACATACACGTAGAAAATTAATTTTCTACGTGTATGTAAATCGAACTTTCTACCTACCCAACCCTGACGACCCCCGAGTAAATCCCCTTTTAGCATCTTGGCTCCTTTACTATAATACAGAAGTACTTACTGATTTTTCTTCGACAGAAAAATATTTTTTGAAGCCAAATATACTGCACAGAACTTGCTTAAAATTAAACAGCCTTCTTTTTCTTTCTTCTCTTTTGATCGGCGATATAGTGAGAGTTTTCGCATTTTCGCAACTGTCTTTCACTTTTTTGTTCTTAATATTCTTTAGAAAAGTCGATTTTTTTGGTCTATTAGTAATCTGCAAGGATAAAAATAATGTTATGATGAGACAACTCTAGGTTTTCTTAGTTCTAAAGTGTACAGACGCCTGTCATGATGACAGACAGTGCGTTTTTTTTTCGGTACTGACTAATTTTTGTTCATTGGTGGTGCAGTTAGTTTACAATCAGAAAGCAAGGGATTGTTTTTCAAAGTAAAATTGATAAAAAATTGAAATTTTTAATAAAAATAATATCAAACTATTAAGTAATCAGTCATGAAAAAATTAACATGAACACAAGTATGAACGTCCGTCCGTCTGTCACAAAGGTCTATCTTATGAACCGTTATAGTTAGACAGTTGAAATTTTCACAGATAATGTATCTATGTTGCCGCTATAAGAACAAATACTAAAAACAGAATTAAATAAATGTTTATAAACAAAAAGGTACTTTCACTAAACATTATCTTTTAAGTAAGAATTTTACATAGAATCTTTCAAGTACTTGATGGCCGCGTGATTAAAGCGTTAGGACTTTACGCTGCTATGACATTGGAGCCGCAGTAAGGCAGGTTCGAATCCTAGCCAAGGCGACTTTTTTTAATCGTTTTTTTTTATTTTTACATATTTATTTTTACTTTTTACATATTTATTATTGATTAATACAATTTTTAGTAATGTGTTTCTTCATTTCTTTTTTAAATTACTTATACGCGCATTCAAAATTTCAGAAAGAAACTCAACTTCACTTAAGAAACTCACCTGATTGTTTCCTAAACACCCTATACTTCTAGAGTGGTACTTATTATTGTTGTTGATATTGTTATTATTATTGTTTATAACAAACGCCCCATTGGTGCAATTACTAGTCCTTTTCCTGTAATTGCTCTCTATAGGTTCACTGGAATCTGAACTGCTCGAATACAGAGTTTGCAGGTAATTTCTCACTTCCTGCAGGGACATGTGGATGGGTTCATTTCCCGTTGTAGCCGACGTACCGGCAACACTGTGACGCTTTGTTTCATACCAAATTGTCTGGAAACATGATTACATAGAGAAATCAAAAGAAGTGGGTTCAATATAACTCTAGCACATATACTCTTGCCAAATTATAGGTTATAATTTTGTGTCAAATTATGTCAAATAGAAATGATAAATATTTTGAATTTTCGACTGTGTTATTACGTGTGTTTCGTGTTTTTTAAAATTAAGCGGACGAAAATTCGAGGGAAAATTAAGTATATACATCGTGTCTCAGATTTTAATCGAGAAAATTTAATAGACGATAGAACTTGCAAAAATAAAACAAAACAAAAAGTTCATATCAACTTGTAAGATTTAAAGCTTCCTTTTCGACATACAGGGTGTTAAAGTTACTTAAAAAAGAAAAAAAATTAAGATATTTGAAAAACTATTTAATCGATTTGGATATAACTTGACCCGTTTATAATACTTACTATGGGACTTAATTTTATGTAATTAGATTTAAGTTTAATGGCCAGGGGCGGCGGTGGGGCATCACTGTTAAATTATTTTAAAGGAAAAAATAGGCACGCCACTGCTTTTTTAGAAGTTTAATATTATTTTTGGATTTAGTAATTAAAAATATTATTTTTTTGTCTCATGATTTTTTTACCTATCTTGCTTACTTCTTGCGAAAAAAATTAAATTCTAATTGGTAATTAATATTATAATTTTATTGGTATTCTAATGGTACCCTGTATCTCGAAAAGGAAGCTTTAAATCTTACAAGTTGATATGAACTTTTTGTTTTATTTTTGCAAATTCTATCGTCTATTAAATTTTCCCGATTAAAATCTGTATATAAAACACTGTATATAAAATTGAGTATTAATTTATTTAAGTTGTGTTTTATTTATTCCTTTGCAATATTATTTTTTTTATTTTCACAAAAGTTATATTGATAAATGTAAGAATAAACACAAGAAGTTGCTTGAGCTTGAAACACGGCTTGCTTGTTTTGTATTAGGGCTCGAACTCACTGACGACCAGGTCGCAACGACCTGGCCGTCGGCTGGCCGGATGTATTGCGTTTTTAGCTGCGGCCAGATGAACGACCAGTTTCAACAGAGTTGTCAAATCTAACGATTTTTTACGTTTTACCAATTAGAAAATATTGTTTCAGAAATGTTAAAATATCGGAGTTAACTAAAAAGCGAAGTTGCTATTCACAACAAACAAAAAGCATTGCGTACGCGCGACCCACAAAAAGGGAGATATTCTGTTTCTTTTTTCTACTGATATGGATGTGATATGAACTTCTATTGATGGCTCTTATCGACTTTAGAAGTAATATTAGGGCCATCGTAAAAAAAGATCGTCAGACACTGGTCCTAAATATAAGCAGGTAGAAAGTTTAACTTCCAGTTATTTCAATGTTTACAATATAACGATAAGAATCTACAACAATAATTACTTCTATTTTTATGAATGTTTAAGTTACTTTCTTAATTTTTTTTTCAAAATAATGTACCTAGTAGAAATATAGTCTAATGAACCCTGTTTGAAAAACGTTAAATTAAATATCATATTTAAAATACAGTTGTCCTCCTTGTACATGATTACAATACAACTAAAAAAAACTAATTTAATAAAAAAAAACAAGTGGTTGTAGAAAAATGTATATAAACTGTATATAAAAAATGTATATAAAACAAAGGTATAATAACAGAGGTATCATACCAACCATAAATAGAGTAGGTATGTCATATAAAAATGTTTTGAGAGTAGAATCGACCCTTGATAAAAAAAAGGGATTAGATTTAAGTTTACCTTTGATCCAGTCTGTATACTATTTCTTTGGATTTTCTGCACGTGTGCAAAAACTACACAAAAACACTATATCTTATAGAAAATAAAATATTGTGCCTTGAATTTGAGGGATTTCATCTGAAAAATTATTAATTTGGAAGAAAACCGGCAACAAGCGGCAGAAAATCATAATATTTCCGTGCAGTCTTCTGGTCGCAACGACCAACTGACGGCCAGGACGTTAGTGTGCGCTATATCATTTGATTTAATGGTTTTAGAGGTAGCTGCAGCCTGGCCGGTGCGACCTGGTCGTCAGTGTGTTCGAGCCCTTAACACGTACTGTAATTGTTTTTAATAAAATAACTCGATTAGATTTTTCCAATTTTATACAGTTTTTTTCACAATATTTTGAAGTAATAACTTGTCACTCAAATTTTAAATATATTAATTTTCAGTTATGCATTCCAATGGTACCAACTTATTTCTTTGTAAAATAAAATAAACTACTTACTATAACAAACATCCTGTATATTGAGATTAACATACCTGTTCTGTCCTCCCTACACTACTCCTCCCACTCAACACAGCATTCTTTTGATAACTCCGTCTCTCACACCCATTCACTCTATCCCCCTCCCTATTCAACAACGTCAAATGCTTCCTCCTCTTCTTGTTCCCACCCAGACCCAAACTACTGTAAGCCCCGCCTTTTTTCGGTTTCACCGACGGTTTTTGCACAACGTCAATCGGCACAGTGTACATATCGCTGTCGAAAGGAACATTGTACAAATCGCTGATCTGGTTAGAGGACAGAGTATCGTGAGAAACAGCCTGCGTGATGAACGAAGAATCGTCCACTCTACGCGTATGGGGAACGGTCAGGGAATTGTGGGAGGAGCTTAATCTTGAAGACCCGCCTAACGAGGACCTAGAGGAGGGTCTGGGGGTGTGCGTGACGTACGGGGAGGCGGAGCTAGCGAAATTGGAGGCGGAGTTCGCGAAACTCGAGGTCGGAGAGGGTAAACGACGCCTCTGGGTGGAGTAACACATGCTCTGGCTTCTGTAGGGTGATACGCGTGAAAGATACGATGATGATTTGCTTAGAGTACTACTATAGTTAAAAAAATCAGGTAACGGAGGTGGATTGTAGTTTGTCGTTCGGGATGGCAGTGGCGGAGGTGAAGATGAATGGATTTGTTGAGTTTGTTCTTGTATACAATTATTTCTGGAAAAAAAATAGTAACTTGCTTAGTACAGAGTTTTATGAGGTTTCTCTTTTATGAGTAGAGATACAAAGATGTGGTTGTAAAAAATTGCAACATTTTCAAATTCGCTCTGTATTTCAGGAACTAAGAAGGCTAGGATAAATCTGTGTGTAGCAACATTAGTTTCATAAAAAAGTAGCATAGTAATGTGAAAACCGCATCTTTGTATATCTACTTATAAACAAGAAACATCACAAAACACACAAACATTGGACATCCTGTACAATAATTAGTAGATAACTTTTATTTCTCAAACAAAACTTACTTTTTCTCTATCCAAAAATCGTGTAGATCAGACAAAGCCATTTCCAAAATTTCTTTAGTCAGTCTAGTATAAAACAAGTCAAAATCTGGTGAAGCCGGCCTGTCTTGGAACTCCAGAGGAGGCTCAATAGGACTTGTAGGAGCCTTAAGTTCAGTCCAGTGGGGTCCTTTTTTTAGCGTATTAAAATTCTCACCACAGATCACATCAGACATTCCATCGAAAGAGTCGTCTTGCGACAGTGAACGCTCTTCACAATCACTATCCTGTAGCAATTAAAGGTTATTTGTAAATTTAATGTGTGAATGAGTCAATAATGATGTAACTATGATTTGTGAGTAATGTAAAATTAATTGTTTAATAAGTGCCTGATAAAAATAAAATTTTAATCAACAATTAATAAAAGATAAAATGATTTTCCATTAAATTTAACTTAATATCTTTGTGTCCTGAGCTCTAGGTAATTAAAATAGTATTGCTAAATACCTCAAAATGATAATGCCTCTTGTCACTCTTGCTTTCAAAACTCGAATTGGCACTAGAAGCGGATCCTGTGGTTAACAACAATCCACTATCGTCACTAAGAATGAATACTTGGGACCAGCTAGAGCTAGAAGGGGAGAGTCCATTTCCACAAGCCAGAAACAAACCTACTGCATCCTAATTTCCTGTTTTCTAGAAATACTAAAAAAAAAGTTTTTGGTAGTTCTATGATGTTTTACCAAGCATTTAGCATATTTGCCAAGTTCAAAATAAACTTATGCTTTTGTTAATACATACCTAAAGAAAATAAATCATCTAAATCTATTTAAGATCAGCCTTATGCACAGAACAAGTGTGTTTTTAAAGTTTCTCCTGTTAGTCTTTGTCAAGTACATGCCAATAGTGGCACTGGTTTTATCTTTACACTATCTAAAACTAAGAATTACCGTAATGCGATAATTGGTTTATTTACATTTTCAATTATACACTTCAGATATTAACAAATAAATTTCAACAAACATGAGTCATTTGACATTTACATTTAATAATTTATCGCTGTCGAATGTCAGAATTTTGACGTATGGTATGTGTCAAAAAAGTCATATTAAGTTATTTCCTGTGATTTTAATATGCCTAATCATATTACTTTTAATAGTTTCATAGATCTGAAAATCCTAAAATTCTAGATTGCTTTTAATTAAAACATAAAAGGGTTAAAAATATGCACATCTAGGAAGTGAAATTGTATTTTACAATTAAAAAAGCAGTAATTTAACAAGTAAAATATTTACATGACGTCATTAAAGCCGCTTATCATATATTTAGTAGGAATGAAAGCGATATATCGATGTCGATATCAATTATTTGTTGCTAATATTTTTAAGAATGCAGATAAGTTTGCAGGCTTTTTTCTTTATTTATTGCTTCGGCATAATATGTATTACCAACAAATTTAGAATTTATGCTAAAAAGTAACACCAGAGTATAAAATTAGTGACTTAAAACCTTAAATATTTTCTAAATCGATACAAACCTGGATAAACCCATCCCAATTTTTTTATATGATTTTAATAATATGTGCTGTCATCTATCGATGGGTAGAAAATACTTATAAATTCGTTCTACCGCCATCTATGATTCATTAATTAAACTAGAGCAAATATGCCGCCATCTATTGACAACTAGACAAAATTTACTATGATAAAGTAGATTTCTTTTAAGAATAATCTATTCTAGCGCCATCTATGATATATTTATCGAACTAAAACAGAATTTGGGCTTTTTCTGTTTAAATTTCGAAACAGTTTTTGTTGATTTTACGAAAAACACTGAAAAATCTACGAAATTCTGTAACAACTTCGCCAGAGTTTGTTATATACAGTACAGAATATTGCTAATATTTATAATTAAACTATTAACGGTTAAAAAAAGACAGGTGGGTTTAAATTTAGATGCGGAGCGCGTTACAGAATGCGAAAAATGCGTTTAATTTATATAAAATCGGTGTGTGACGTCCGCGAACGACGTTTTTAGCACACGACGAGCCTCAGTCTCAGACAGGGCGCCCCAGTACACCGTCCCGACGCCTAAACGACGCTTTGAGGTTATTTGAATCGCAATTTTCGAGCAAAAACCGCGAAAAATTCGAATGTTCGCGCGCTTTTCAAAATCGCGCAACTAGTTTTAGTTTAACCCTGACGATGGTATAGACGCCGCCAAAACGTCGGATTTTCTGTTGTTGTGGTTGTTTTTTTTAATATAAAAATACGTGAAATATTTTTGATTTTGTTTAAAGTATCGACAGAAAATGATTAAGTTTGTTAAAGGTAATAAATAAATAGATACTGTCTTACAAAAAATTATAAGAAAAAAAAACAGCGTCATGTAGTGTTTCAAATTACACTCCATATAGTAGGAATACAAATAAATTAAAGCAACAATTTTTAACAAATGATGATTCTTATACAGGGTGTCCCAGGCTGAGCGTGCATTAGAAGTTTCTTTCTTTTACAACGAGATCTATCGATTAAAAATATTTTCAATATGGCGGTACTTCCGGAAATACCGGAAGTTGACAGCAACTTTCTTATTTTAAATGGGTGCCCCCATTTTTTATTACATACTTAAATTCTCTGTAAAATTCTATGAATATTGATGTTAAACACTCTATATCTAACATTAACCGTTTTTGAGAAAAAAATATTTAAAATTGTTGGACGAAAAAAACTACCTGTCAAAAAAAATTTGTATAGTCTAAAATTGGTCAAAGTCAAATTTAGTGATTACCACAGCCACTGTGACATAAAGAGAAGACATGTGGCTATCTATTTCAAAAATTAAATTGTTCAAACGTCGTGAAATAATGGCGGTAGCTGTCATAGAATTAAAAAATTATCATAAATCATTTTTTTCAAACGGAAACCTACTTTTTTTATTTCACTAGTGAAAAGGCTTTTTAATTCGTTACTTTTTAACTATACATGTTCCTATACATACCTAAAATAAATCGTTTTTATGTTATTTAAGATTTAGTTTTAAAGCGTATATTTTTCTTGATTGGACACACTCAAACTTAACAAAAATCAAAAAATTATTGAAAACTCCATCTTGTCAATACAAATAATGATAATTTACGTTAATAAAAAACACTAAATTCGATACCTATTATTAAAAATAAGGGATTTTGAATCTGTGCTTTCATTGAAACGGCAATCGCGTTAGCCTTGATTTGTTTTATGTTTATTGTTTTTGCCATGTGTCACTTTCTTTAAAATTTCTATGTGCATTGTTGTGTGATTAGATTTGAAAAAAACTATACAAATATTCATTATTATGAACAGTGAAGTTTATTTGAATTCAAAAATGTTGTTTGAATATTAAAGGCAAACGTGAAATACAGAGATTGATGTTGGAAATGTATAAAAGTATATATATTGCAAAGTGATCAGAGGCTTGGAGTAATGGTTGCAAGAATCTGGAACCGTATCGTGAAACAGGTGGGCCAAAAAATACAACAAACAGACAAAATATTTGGTTTTTGTTGACCGTTAAGGGCTGTCCACACGCGGCGACTTGCCGTACGACTTGCTTGCGTTAACAAAACGTTGCGGATAAAATGTATAGACCAAGTTGTGTCCATATTACAACGACTTGTCGTTCAGTCTTTTGAATTCTGTCATAATATCATCATGGCGGAAATCCTGTTGTGGTTAGTTTTTGCTCTATTTGTTTAAATAGGATGTAAATAAGGCTTTAGACATTATTTAATAAAATTAGCGTTGCGTATTGACAGGTATATCGTAGTCTCATAGTGTATTCCGTCTTTTCATAAAGATCCTAGGTCACTTCATGAAGCGTCGGTTAGGTTAGGAGTTTAGGTATGTTATTATTAGGTTAGTTTTTTTTTCATTAAGTGACTAGGATCTTCATAAAAAGACGGAATAAATACACTATGAGACTACGACATATATAAATAACAAAGGAATATTTTCGAGGCCATTGCTATAGTCTTTCGCCAAAGGAAAAAATACGTTAATAACTGTTTTTCTTTGTTTTTTTTTTCAGGTGAACCCAATCCAAACAATTATCCCCCCAGATTCCGAGACTATGGCTCACAATGTGTGACCTTTGCCGAAAACACAAACGCTATCCTCAAAGCTGAACTCTACGAGTTGGGCAAAAATACCGAAATTTCCTGGTAAGTCATATCTAGCCCATGGCTAGCGTTTCTGTGAATGTGAATTGTGAATTCTTTTGTCTTTATTTTGTTGATTGGTTTGTGCGCTTTATGAATACAGGGTGGTCCGAACTGTATTCCGGAAACTTCGGCAGCATATTCTGCAGATAAAAATAAGTGAAAAAGTTCGTATAAACGTATGTCCTAAAATGCTTAGTTTCGGAGATACAGGGTGTAGAAATTTCATTTTTATTTCTATTTTTTCTAAATAATTTCTAAAGTAACCTCAATATTTGGATGAAAATTGGTTTCTGGGAGTTTTGTGAGACGAGAAATTTGATTTTGATGTCAAAATGACTCCTATTTGTAGGGGTCGCCACCTACATGTGTTTTAACTGTTTTGAAGAGTAATAACTTTTCGTCCGTACCTGTATAAAACTACTGACTGAAAAAATATAAATTTCTATTAATTTTTACGTAAAAAATGTCTCTTGGTAAAAATGGCTACGAGCAACCGTTCTCAAGATATTTAGAATGGAAATAGTCAATACATGTCATATTATTGAAGCACAAGTTAATAAGTATAGTTATTTGACTGAAATAATAAATTTTTATTTTTTAAATTAATCATAAATTTTTCTGCGAAAAAATATGATTAAACAGTTTCTATGGAACTTTTGGCACAAAAAGATTTCAAATTTATGATTTCAGTCTAATAACTATTTAGTTAACATGTTTAATTTATGTCAATGATGACAGGTATTGATAATTTCGATTCCAAATATCTCGAGAACCATTACTCGTAGCGATTTTTACCAAGAGACCTTTTTTATGTAAAAAAAGTCCTAAATGTATGTTTTTTTTACTCAGTGGTTTTATACAGGTATGAAAGAAAAGTTATTACTCTTCAAACCCTTTGAATAAGAAGACTAAGGAAGGAGCATAATGCTATCCATGTATTCATCCATGGTGGGCGGAAAAGCCACCATAAAAGCTCTCTAGGGTGGGGAGCTTTGACAGTTCTGTTTGACGATTCATTTGACACATTTGAATTTGATTTGAAATTTTGTGGATTTGTCAGTCTTTACGGAGCTTATTTTATGTTATTTATTATTTATTCTACTACTGATAGTTGTATAAAGGTAGTAAATCTAGATGGAAATTGTGGCAGAACTTAAATTAACAGTGACACTATCACGATTTATCGCAAAATACTCTAAAATAGTTGGTTGTGTAGCGTGCGGTAGATCTCGGCAAAAACTGAGTGAAATAATGGAACAACTTTTCGCTAGTAAGTAACTATATAATATACATACGTGTAGTAAACCGATCATTTATGAAATTCACTTAACTTAACTAAATTATATATTTTTCTTGCATTTTAGCTTTTATTTATTACTTGTCAAAGATTAGATGTCAAAGAATTTAGATACGTTAATTTGACTTACCTGCTTCAGTAGCGTATCGGATGTTTGTGTTAATAAATACTTATTATAACTGATCTATTTTTATTAGAATTATATATTTTTATAACAATTTTAATAACTACCAACATTTATTCACAACGTAAAATAAAACAACAAATTGTTGAGTCTACCCCACGTCTACCCTACATCATAGTTTTACATTTTTTAAATAAAATTAGAACGACACTGATAAACCGGAATTTAAGTCGGCCATATTTGAGGCCCATCGCGGTGTACCTAAGATTTTTGATATGCTCCTTCCTTAGTCTTCTTATTCAAAGTTCAAACCAGTTAAAAATATGTAGGTGGCGTCCTCTACAAGTAGGGGTAGTTGACATGAAAATCAAGGGGATCAAGGACGGACGGACAGCGAAGTCTTACTAATAGGGTTCCCGTTTTTACCCTTTGGGTACGGAACCCTAAAAATGACAGATAATACAATTTATCTATGAATCAAAATGACAGACAACTCTCACTGTCTCTCGGTATTCTATCGTTAGACTGTTAGACAAACTTTACTTAAAAAAATCACAATTTATTTTTGAACGAAATAATTAATTAATTATGTTATTACATATATTATAAATTATGACAAAAAATACAATTTTTCAAATGCAACAATCTATAATAATTCTAGATATTTCGCAATAAAATCTGGTTTGAGTCAATGAGTGTATGCGAACGCGAAATCGTTGTCCCCTTGCCAAAACTCGGCACCGGTTAAAAATAAAGCAAAACAAGCAGTGCTAAATTAAAAAAAAAACACGTAAACTGCTGAAAAATAGTTCGCAAAAATATTGCGGAAAATTTAAAAAGGTGAAATTATCCATTATGCAATCTTGTATTTTGAAAAATCTCTTCTTAATTTGGCGGTAAACGGTAGTAGTTCTTTTTAGCAATGGTTTAAAACAATTAAAACTATACTTGTCGTATGTTAAATTTTATATTAATTTAGAATATCGTCAGTGAAACCTGATAACCTGCTAACTCCAATTTTTACATTAATAAGTTTTTTTATACCATTAGAAAAAGAAAAAAATACTCTATAAATAGGGAAAGCAAATACATTTTTTCTCATTAAAGAAAATTTGCTGTTTTAACTCAATAAAATCTGCTAACTCCCAATGATTGGAAATAGCCACCGAAATGCTGCTATGTCCGTAATTTCCATTACAATCACGCTAAAGCAATCACACGGTTTCTTATTCGTAAGTTTCTTTTGTACAGTACGTCGATCCAGGGCCGAACTAGGCCAAAGGGACCCGGGTGGCAATGTAAGGTCCACGCCGTGTGGATTTTTTTGCGTATTTTTTCGCCTTACGTTTTAGTAAATTTTTCCCTATTATATACAGGGTGAGTCTTAAATAAGTGCAAATATTTTTAGGGGTAGTATATTTTGACCCAAGAAACACGATGATGGGGCTTTTTGCGCGATTTTTTTCTTTTTTGAAAATTTGGAATTTAAAAAAAATTTGGAATTTTTTTTAATTTTTAGTTTAAAAACATATTTTGTTTGTAATATGGCAACATAGGTAGCAGATTAAATTTACAAGAAAGAAAATCTAATGATTCTCAAAATTATAGCAAAAATTGGAAATTTTAAAAGAAATAACTCGGTTGTTTTGGATTTATTTGAAAAAACGGTAAAGAGAAAATACTATGTTTCTTTTATCGAGATTTACCAGCCCTAAAAATATTTGCAATTATTTAAGACTCACCCTGTATAGAAATCGAGGAACTACCCTAATGCAAGGTAAACCAATGCAATGCAAATGCCATAATGCAATGCAAAAGCAAATATTGTTAAGAATAAGTAATGAACTATAAAGGTGGCCCACGAAGGCTGGGACCCCCCTAATAGTTATATATATATATATATATATATAATATGGCCAGTCCGACCCTGCGTCGATCCGTTCTGTAAATACAGGGTAACCGTAAAGGGTAAGGGGAAAAACGAAATTCTCTATAGATAGATAGATAATAGTTTATTCATTCCAGTAAAAGAAATTACAAATAATGTTCATATGAACGTGGAACCCGTCTAAACAAAGAAAAACAAAATATAATATGCTATTGACTATGGGCAGAAAAAACTAACATAATTTCCTTAAATCTAGATATATCTTAGAAATATACAAATACATTTTTTTTAATATTTAAATTAAAATCCACTTCTGACGGCTAGAGCCGCCTTTGAGCTATCTAAGAAAAAATCCTGCACTGAGTAAAACGCTTTATTTACTAAATACCCCCTTAAAGCGGACTTTAGTTTGTTTCTTGGCAAGTTTCTAATAGCCATGGGAAAAGAATTGTAAATTTTTATATTTTTTTTATATACGAGCAATTTTTTATATACGAGCAAAGCCTTTTTATATACGAGCAATTCATCGGCGTGCTATAAATAGTTTAAATCACATTATTTTGTTGTACAAGAATTTCCATAATATCTAACCAGTTTTATTTGGTTAGGTTTTTTCATCGTTTTTCCACGTAAATGATACATAATTTTTATAAAAATTAAAAAATAAGGAGAAAAGTAATAAAAATTTAATAAAATCACGCACTGTTTTTCAAGCTCGGTCTACTACCGTTATTCATTAAGTCCAAAATGCTGCTACTTCAGTTCTTTAAAAATTTATTCGTTTTTGGACTTGTATGTTTTGCTTCTAGACCGACGATATTCTAAATATATAGTTATGAATATCATATTTTTTAAATTTAATTCATTATTTCTAAATCTGTTTGGGTAATATTCAATTCCATTTTCAAAATTTCAAACAATAAAGGTTGCTATCTCCAGAAGTATATTTTTATTTCTTATTTCTGCAAGACGAATATCTGCTATCTCCCTATTGTGTCTGAAAAAAATTATGTAGCACGAAATATTGAGTTTTATTGTTCCCCAGCAAATAAAATTCTCATCTCTTTATCATATTGACGCATGAAAATACTTCCTACATGTGTACATATTTTTTTGTACCGTTTTTTTGCTCTCCTGTAAAATTAGAAATAATGGAGTTAGCAGTTTATCACATTTCACCGACGATATTTCTTACTTTCATGTGAAATGTTACTCCTCCAACAAAGATTTTCCTAGATATTTTCATTTACATGATTTGATCTGAATAGATCTTTATTATTTGATAAAATCTAGGTGGCTGTGATATGTCTGGCGTTATTTCAACATAGCTGTCTAATTAGTCCAACTTTAACAACTAGTTTTCATTTGGTGTCAGTTAAAACAAAAAAAAATTCTCAGAAATTTGCAGAAAATGCAAACTTATCCTACATCAGAGAGATGATAATATCTGGGAAAATCTTTGTCTGAGGGATAGGCAACCTTAATAATATTTTGAAGATATATAAATTCCCCATTGACCACCGGAAAAATATACTGGGTGTTCCATTTAAAATAAAGGAGTAACTTGCTATTAAATGTGACTAATGTTCGATATTAATGTTGTCTCACCCTGTATAACTTTTCGTGTCAAATTTTAATTTAGTTTAACACACAATGGTTACTGTAATTAAATATCAGGCTATACAAGATCA